ATGTCAGAGCAATTCATTCCTATAGCAGTTTCACCAACCTTACGTCCTGCTGTACATTAGATGTTTTTTAATTTAATGCAAATGCAGCTGTGCAGGTAATGGCATGTTACTTCATGACTGTTATTGAGATTGACTTGTGAGATAGGTTGAAATTTATGAAAATGCAATAAGACAACAGAGACTTAATGTGCAGCAGCGATAGTTATCATTGTTTCTGTTTAAACAAATATATCATGACGCATACACAAAGGATTAAAATAAAAAAGGCTTATAAAGTAGTTGCAGCTGTTGCAGTCGTGACAGGCGAATTATGCAGACATTTAATAGCCTATTGTGTTTTAACTGGAACCATTTTTATTTGAATGAGTAAATAATCCCTTAGTGTTTACTTCTGTCAAGTCAGAGGAATTGAAATATTTCCAGGACGAGGCATTCAGTCTGATGGACCACCCTTTGTGTTCGTGGTGATACGTTTCCACTTGAATGTTTTGTCTTCAGGAGTTCTGAGAAGAGACAGGTTTCAACGAGGTCAGGATTTCACCAGCCTTAGTTGATGCTATCCGTCCTTGGATAACACACTGAACGCGTTTACATGCACACTAATAAACCGATCATTATCTGATTTCCGGAGTTACCTGATTATTCAAGTGGTCATGTAACAGCATAATCTGATAGACTTTATCAGATAAACGCCATTATCTGATTATGAGAAATCAAATAAACACACCTAGCTTTTTCCCCAGTAGTCAGATTATTCGGTGCATGTATACCCTTTAATCTGGTTTCTTTCGGGTTTTGCTATTTTATACTCCCACTACACTACATTTTAGAGGGAAATATTGTACTTTCTACTCCACTACGTTAATCTGACAGCTTTTGTTTCCTTTCAGATAAAGATTTTACATAAAATAATATATTTTTATATTCTCAGTGTTTAAATTGTCACTTTTATTTTATTTTACTTATATGTTATGCACTTTGTGTGACACGTTTATATACAATACACTTGTATATTGCACTTTGCAGTACTTTTACTTTACTACTATGTAAAATTGGCTCCACACTGATAAACTACACATTCGAATGCTCTCACATGTATTTGTTAATGATAAAAACAAACAGTACTGTAAGAATATAAGCTGTCAGCATGATAAGTGCTTTATTTTGCAAATATATGACTTGCATACTTTTCGAGGTTTTTCAAGGATATGAGTACATACTGTAACAAGAAGTTTGAGTTTTATGTCATGTACTTGAGGAGAAATCCAACTGAAGGACTGAATCATGTAAACCAGATTTTTCTGATTATCAGAATATTGAAGTGCAAGTAAACAAGTCAAATCGGATTATTACCATTACCTGATTATTCACAGTTATCTGATTATTGTGCGCATGTAACCGTGCTCACTGTTAGCTGAGGCAGACGCCTTCATTCAGTCATTGTGTCCACTCATTTTGTTAATATCACTGCTCACAGTGCCTTTGACAGTTTGTTTTATTTGAAATAGGTCATTGAATGAAACAGGGGTGATCAGTTCTTTACTCGCTGAGGGGGAGGAGGAGGAAAGCAGGCCAAGGTCCACTTTTGCCGCACTTGGTTGCCTCTGTCATTGACCTTCGCTGTCACATTAAACTGACTTCAGACTGCTGCCACACATGACGCCGGCAGCATTCTGCAGCCTTTCTGAAGGTGCAACTTGACCTTAAGGCTGCGGCATGTCGGGGAGACCTTGGTCTTAGCCTTAGCAGATTAGGAGCACACAGGGAATAAGAGAGAGGGAGCAGTGTTTGCAGCCTGCAGCTTGATTTACCTCAGGGAGGGAAGCACCTGGATCACACCTGTCCTCAATCAGTAATTGCCCCACACACACAGCACCACTGCACACACAAACCACATCCAATCAGTGCCACTAGACTAAAGGTCAGGTAAGATGAAGGTGCATATACAGTCTACCATGTTACATTAATACAGTGCAGAACATAGTCATTTAACATAACTTAGACACTTCTGCAGTCTGTAAAAGGTGTAGGCTGAAGCTACAGCTTATAACACTATGAAAATATCTCTCAAAGCATGCTGGCTTACTCTCTTCTGAACCAACTTTTCGATACTTTCAGATAATAATTGTTTTGTTTTTTTGCTCTGTACATAATTTGAGCTGTTTTAACGTAGACCAAATCTTCAATATTTTTTATATACATATATTTTTATTTGTAGATTTTCAGATATTGACACAAACAACACAAAACCAGGTACAAATCACCCTCCCCCCACCCATGGAAGTTAACAGTACAAAATACATATGCATATAGTACAAGTAACCAAATGTTATTTGTCCAACCTGTTATGAACATGTATCTGTACATGCATGCAAACATTTTGGGCCATTCGTGATAAATGCCTCTCCATGTGTAAGAAGCTGGTGATTTCTGTCAACCGGGTCATGAAAGAAGGCACATCCTCAGTTTTCCAAAGAGTCAGGATATTCCTTTTTGCCACCACCATGCCCTATTGTATTGGCTTTTGTTGCAAGTGAGATAAAGCTGATGGATGTCAGGTTCCATCCGGAATGGCAGTGCGTGGGTCTGGTGTAATATCACAGTTGTACACTTCTGAAAAGTACTTAAAAATATTTAACCAGAACTTGTTCAGCTTGGGGCAAGACCAAAAGAGGTGGCCCAGGGTTCCTTCTGCTGATTTACATTTTGGGCAAAGTGGAGAGACAGAGGGATAAAAGGAGTGACGTTTAGTACAGGAGTAGTGGAGCCTGTGAAACACTTTAAATTGAGTAAGCTGGTGTCTGGAATTTATGCAGCATTTGTGAATGTCTTTTAGGTAAATTTCCCAGGTTACCAAATCTTCAGATTTAATAGTCTTTAGTTTAGCAAATAATGAGTTTGTTGGTTCTTTATATGGGGTTTTGCTCACAATTCTCATGGCTATCTTTTGAAGTATGAAAATTGGATTTGTGTTTGTTCTATATGAAGTGTATGGTAGAATAAAGGAACAGTATAAGATGTATAATGAGGCTTGATTTAGAAGATCTTCATATAATATTGCAGTTGACTTTGAAATTTTGCCTTTGATATAATTTATGTGCGGCTTCCTGTGTAGTTTATTATGTATTACAACATCCAGTGACTTGTTAGACATTTTTCAAAACAAACATCCCATATTGTGCCCCTAATAACAAAAAACCCAAGCTGTCTTTTTCATCATTCATCTTTCCCTGGCTTGCATGTTAGTGGCGCAATACAATCGCTGGCCCCCTTACTGGCCCCACCTCATGAAAATAATAAAATAGTTGGAGTCTCTGTGTGGTGTTTTCCAAACTTGAGAGGGCTTGTTCCCAGTAAATGTTTTGTTCCTCAGAATCAGCGTAGGCCTTCAAATTAAAGCTGTATATTTGAATTTTAAGGAAAAGGATAACCAGCCTATTTGACATAAACACATTAATACACTGGGATTGTTATGGAACTCAAAATGTTTGTATGAGTCTTTGCACATCAGATAATTAGTGACATTAACTTTAGAATGTTTTGTACAGCATGTCGCTAAGCTTGACCAATCATATTTTTATCACCTCAAAAATATTGCTTAAATAAGATCTATTTTAACTTTTAGAGATACAGAAAATGTTGTACATACTTTTATCTCTTCACGTCTTGAGCCTTTATTCCTGTCTTGATCAAAAAACCTTGCAACGACTTCAGATCGTTCAGAACTCAGCCCAAGGCTTTTAACCCAAACCAAGAAGTACAACCACATCACACCAGTTTTAGCATCTTTACATTGGCTCCCTGAGTTATATTGGAGCCAAACTGTGTGCCGTTACTTTTGTTAAATGTTGCTGTTGTCCCTGGTTTTATATGAGAAGTGGATATGATCACTAGCTGCTAGGCTAATTTATACAATGTAAAATGCCATAGGCTTGTGCTAATAACGTTAGCATGTTGTATTTGTGGGAAAAATGTGTCCAGATAAAGACAAGTGTTTGTCTGTGAATGCTGCGAGTTATAGTGAAGCCGATTTGTGTACTTGTGTTTGAAATTGTCGCTATTAAGCCATGTTTAATGTGTGTTTAATGTGTGTTTTGAATCAACTAAACTTTGCATTTGCATTACACAGAAAACTCCGCCGCCGACTAGTGTTTTGGAGGTGTAACTGCAGAGTGACACAGAGACAAGTATAAATGATCACAACGGCGTAGGTCATGTGCGTAGGTATTAATCCTGATTTTATCTGAACTGTCCTTATATTTTATTGGTATCTTATTGATATTATTTCCCATTTATTCCCTTGATTTTAGCTTTGGCCTTCCTTATTTTATCTTTTACTAAATGACATTTTATGCCATGTTTTATTCTCCTTGTTTTTTAAACATGTTTAGTTTTATTGTACAGCACTTTGTAACTGTTTGAAAAGTGCTATATAAATAAAATTCTATTATTATCATTATTATTATAACAAGAATCCAAAGTATATCAGTATGTTTATAACTCTTCATACTGACATTGTTTTTAACTAGTCTACGTATAAACTACAACAGCATAATTGAATTCCTGAAATTCAGTTACGGCTTTTGCTTTTGCTTTTGCTTTTGGTGTGTCACCAAGATTTTCAGTGGCCCCATCTGGCCACCCCTACAAAAACTGCTGCGTGTCAGTAAATTGAACAAAAAATATTTGACAAGTTTTTTTATTGTACCCAATGGACACTTTTTTCTTCTGCAACCTATGAGCACATGTCAGATGTCGTCCATGAAATACAGAGACAATGTGCACCATATACCCATTATGCATTTGCATTATTATTCCATAAAAATGCCGTAAATATAAAAGCAGGTTACGGTTCAAAACTCTTACTACATAATAACTCAAAGTAACAGCAGTTGAAATTATGTTGACCCTGTAAACACATACAGTAAGAGCCCAAAATAGTCCGACAAGATATGAACACATGAAAGCTGCGTGTGATACATTCATTTTCTGCATCATACTTCCTGTTTATGATACTCACAAAGTCTTTATTCAAGAACAGACAGATAGGGTCAGGTATCTGGATGTCTGAATGTTTTAAAAAGAGACATTTTTATGAGGCACGTTGCACATAAAAGCATGATAACATCTGACCAACTCTACAATTTCAAACAATAAAAATGTACAAAATTCAGAAGAAAGGTGGAGTACATTTGGTGTAACTGAGACATTTTGGCAACATTTAGGATCGTTTTGCAGGTTGAGTTACAATTTAAATTCTTCAAGACAAAACTGGCAAGGAGTCTTGGCATTATAATCACCTGACACTCTTTTGTATTAAACCCTTTCAAGTTAAAAAAAAGTCCACTCAGTCATTATTATAAATTCTTGGGATGATCAAAGACTTCATTGGCCTGGTGTGCAGTAAAGTACTAAACCTTTTCATACATATTATCCATTATATAATGGGTCTGGATGTAATAATAAAACCTCTGATGTCTGGACCAAGAGGCAAGAGTTTAGGCAAAAAGTAAACAAGTTAACAAGAAAATATAAAACAGATTTCAATAAAAATTTCTCCACATCATGAAGTGGAGTAGTACTGAGTGACTCAGCTGGCAAGAGATCTGGCAAATAGTAAAAACATCAAAAACAAATTCCCAAAGAATAAGCAACTGCTCCTGAACACAACACTGGATATACTGCTGACTGAATCAGCTGGCAAGTGTCATAGCAAACAGTAAACAATCATGAACATAACATTTCCAGTTAACATGACTCAGAATAGTTCATGTAAATTCAAGCATTTGTATAAAAATGTACATAAAAAATGTGTGTTATATTTTTGGTAAATAACCCACTGTAACCTTCAGCCTAATGTGTTATATCTTCAGTAACTGTGTGTTGGCAGTAGTAATCTGATGACTGTGAGGCATCTTTGAGAGCTTCATTGTGTGATTTTCAATCCAACAACGAGAGAGGTGGAATGCTATACGATAAAAATCATCTGACAAAGGTGCTGTTTGAGAGCGATAGAGGTTTCCTGGTCTTTTTACACGTCTGTCACTGTAAGGACTGAATTTCTGGCAAACAGGGTGGTGAGCAGAGAGTCTGGCTTCTTTACTTGTCTCGATCTCCTCCTACAACAGACACATTTTGCAGTGAGCTTCTAATTTCAGAGTAAATCTTTCTGTATATCTCACCGTATACTGTATATGTGTGTGTTTACTCACACTTTAAGCACTGCCCCCACACATAGCGACAGCACCAGTATGGCGATGATGGCAACAGCGATATAAACGTAGACAGGTACCATGTCCCATTCTGGTTCAGACGCGACTTCTTGCTTTTCTGTAACAAACATACACACAAATTTACACTCATTTACACTCTTTTTTTTTTTTTTTTTTTTTTACATATCCCTTTGTCAAAAAAAGCTATCAATGAACCTCACAAAAATCTAAATAACCAACAATAAATGATGAGCACAATGTCTAAACAAAGCTGATGATGCATATTCGGACATTGGTATTCATGAGTAATTTGAACACTTTCGTTGTATGAGAGACAAAATTTTGCCAAACAAAGCAGTAATTACACACACATACCACACACAGACACATCAAAATGGTCACACATGCTAAAAATATCAGCAAGAAGAACATTAAAGTCCGTCAGGGGAATCAATGTTTTGTTTATTTTGCAGTTCATTTCAGTGATGTAAGGAGCATAGTACCAGAAACCAGTTTTCTCCGAGTCAGAGTTGGTAATTTAGTTTTTTAATTCAACGTTTTCTGTGATCCAAGTCATGGTTGGTTACATTAAACTCAAATAAGTGAGTTGAAAATCTCATTAGCTGGGATGACATAGTCTTTAAATTGCCGTTCAACCTTTTCATGTAACCTGTGAAAAAAAAAGTGATAGCTGTGTGATTATAATGAATCAAATGTTGCGTGTAAATGGTGTCCAGTGCTTAAAGGGTCGGGATATCTCCATAAAATAGTGGATTGTAAAATGGTCAGTTTTCTGTTCCCATACAAGAATCCAATCAGAATTTTCAGCTTTAGAGTTCATGAGCTTTATAGAATTTTCTATCTAACCAAATTCCTAAGTTCTTATAATGCCACACTGTATCATTATATTTAGGAGTAGGGACATCAAAGTGCTGTGCTTTTGTGAAATGTGTACTGTTTTTTTTTTTTTTTTTTTGAGTTTATAAAGTTTTAAAGTAATAAAAGAGGTCTGGAGGTTGACAAAAGCAGACTAACTTGAAGAAATGCCCGGTTTGCAGTAGAGCTGCTGATGGAATACAGGATGGTATCATCAGCATATAAATGGACATTGCAATATATGGTGGAAAATAGATACTTATTTCCTAAAACAACATGGGACTTAATGTTGACCCTTGTGAGACACCCTAATCAACCATCTGGACAGCAATAACAGAGACACCAGCATAGAGTGTGGTAAAAAAATGTATTTTGCCAAAATATTGTGACACTTCAAATCAGAGATCAGAGTTTCATTTTTCAAGCCTGAAGCTACGGATACTTTAAGTCCATTTCTTCTGTATTGGTAGAAATAGGAATTTTAACAAGAGTGAAGTCATGCACGTTTTAATAAATTGGCAAGGGTTTTGGCGAGTAGTCAACCATAAAACATCGAAACAAACATCCAATTAGTTATACAATATCGGTGTACATCCAGAAGGAGATTTTAACAAGAGTCTTTGAGACCAATTTTAACATTCAGCAAATTAGATGAAAAGGCAGTCTGTGGCCAACAACCATTTACCTTCAAGAGGCAAAATGAACTACTAGACCCCTACTGACCCCCCCTTTCTTCCACACTGTGCAATGCATACAGATGCTGTTGCCTTCAAGTACCCATACAATACAGTGCGCTCAGCAGAACACAGCTTCATCACATTTTACTTAGAGCCCCATAACCAGCACTCCTACATTCTAATGAAAATAAAAACAGATAATACTTGTCAGTACCTTCCAAACTACAGTTGTGTAATGTCCCTTTAACAAAACAAACGTTACATTAGGCAATGGAAAAAAACCACCACTCTATCTGTGCACTGCGGTCCTTAATGTGGCCAACTCCCACTCTTAGATGCAATGATGACAGACAGACAGATACAGTATGAGTCACCAGCTGTGCAACAGTAGCTGTACAATCAAAAGCTTAATCCTTTTCATGATATAATGCACTCAACATACTGTAAATACAGATATTAAGAAAAAATAAAAAAGCCATTTGTGTATCAGTTGCTCACCCTGTGTTACCTTTTGGGATAAAGAAAAAAATTGTTTTTCACGAATGCCTCCATGGTGAGCAAAGAATCTAAAAAAGGTATTTTCACCAAAACAAGTTTAATGTACAGACAAGTAACCTGACTGGGTATTTGAACTCTGCTCTTTTTTTTTATATTACAGCGTTTTAGTGAAAATTCTTGTGTTTGGGAAGTACTGAGCATATGACTGGATAAATGCCATCTGGATAATACTGCACGAGTTGTGTAAGAGTTTGAGAACCAACGTTAAATGTGGACCCCAATAACTAAAATTCAGACCGAATGTTCACCTTCTTTGTGTTCTTCGTTCACTGTGGTGGTTTAACTTTTTTTGTGTGTTTTTACTATGTTATTTGTATTCTATTTTATTGCTTTTATCTTGTTTTATTGCTTTGTCTTTTATTTAGTTTTGTAAAGCACTTAATAACTGTGTTTCGAAAGGTGCTATATAAATAAAGTTTATTATTATATTATCATTATAAGAGTGAAACAAAGTTTTCTGAATGAATTCAAGGTAACACACGGTGAGTCATAGATATACAAAAAATCATTTTACAAGTGCAGTATTTTTGCTGCTAAGTGGTATAAAGTCCCAAACAAATTTGAAATTTTTAAATGACCCCACATAAATGAACACAAAGTGCCACTGAGGCCTTTCAGGCTACTAAATGTCTCTTGTTTGAAGCCCTTAAAATACATTCATGGTGCACTCATCAGTTTGAGCCTCTCAAAATTATCATAACATTTCTGTCAGGATGTTGCCAGTACTCTCTGATGCCTAAACAGAAGGTGATCCTTCCTCCTGCCATTCAGCGGACCAGATCTGGGCAGCATCAGTGGCTGTAAAAAAAATTGGACACATTAGAAGGGTTGTACATGTTGAAATTTTAGTATGTTTTTTGGTTTTGCAAAAGGACAACAATGTTTTAATGCTGCCTAATAGCCTGAAATGTCATTTTGGTATTTTGACACACCTGGTGAGGTGACATAAATTAGATACTGACATAAAAACAGATTAGAATGCACACAAAATGTAATTAATTGTTAATGTATATATTTTTTTATTTTTTATTTTTGATATTTTTAATTGACTTAGATTATTCATTTAACAAAATCCTAATAATATGGAGCAAAAATAACATCAAACTGAAGTAAACATGAGAACAAAAGGCATGAAAATAATGATTTTTTTTTTTTAAAATATGAAAATGCCATATGCAATTTATGTTTTGCAGTATCATAAAAACAATAATTATAGATAATATAAAATTGAACTTACTATTTGGTGAGGACATCAGGGTCTTCCAGCTGGGAATCCAAAAAGTTAGCGGGACTCATGAGGACTTGCTGATGTGGCTTTAAACACAAAAGTTGCTTCACAGCTTAGTTTGTAAATCCTTTACCAGCGGGAAACACTCTGAGTAGATCTTTTAGGAAAGCCGCATTAGAAATAAATCTCTCAAGCATTTAAACCCATGATCTATAACAGCTCATGCAGAGATTTGTCAGATTTCTATGTGACGCATTAATACATGTGACAAAATCCGTTTGGTGGATGGCGCACTGGGGCAGTACTGGTGGTTAATCTTTTTTTGTCGCCCTCTGGTGAACTGATTTCATGCATATATTTTGAGTTTTTTCTTTGTAATGACAACAAGTTTGTTGTAGTAAATTGAAACGTCATTACCTGGGTGGCATGTCGGACGACTCCACTCACTCCAAAAGCTCTTTTCTGCACAGTACTTGTGCAATCTGGACCGAACCCTGAAGCAGTTACTCTGATTGTCGTGGATGGCGGGCAGAGATAGGGTCGTCTGTTTGGTTGAAATCTGCTGCTGTAGAAACATGATTTGAAGATAAGTTAGAGTCAGAAAGTTAACACTCATAGCCCAAAGTCTAAACTGGCTTAGTTGCATTAATCAGTATTTTTATTTTAGTATCTTTTAGCTCATTGTCCTGGTCATATGGCACATTTGATTCAGTCACACCACACCCATCAACCCAGTTTTAAACAGCATTAGGTCACCTTTTCTTTTCTTCTACCTTTAATAACTCTCGACCTGCACAGCACCAAAGTGCACAAACAAGTTAGCAACGCTCTGGGGAAATACAGATTGACATCTTGCAGCTTAAGACCCAGATAACTGTCTCAGGAGTCAGTGGAGGCCAAATCAAAGTATTGGTGGCCACAAACTGGAGCCCATTTTGCGAAGGGATAAGCCCAGCTGTGATACAGCGAACCACAACTTAAAACAAATGTGGGCCAGGGGTGTAAAGTTGGGGGAGCAGAGGGCCTCCTCTCTGCTTCCTACCCCACTACTTTTAGCCCCCTTGCTCAGACCACACCCATCTTTGAACTCAGCCTTTACTTTGATCTCTAAACACCTATAAAGTTTCATGACTGCATCTTGCAGGGTTGTTACTGTACAAAAATGTTTTGACAAAATCAGTCCTCAGACAGACATACTGTATAAATACCTGGTAAAATACTCAAAACCGCTTCTGTGGTGGTTCCTGCTACAACTGGTGCCAGCAGGTGCACATTTCGCTTCCATGACATGCACACATATAAACACTCATGATGAGAAAACAATACCAGCGCCTGTGTTGTTGTGGATGGATATTTAAATTTTAGTGCAATGAAGAAACTGCGCTGCAAAAATCCTTATGCATTTCTTCACAGTCTATGTAATCACCGCTGTAATCAAAGTGGTGCTGAGGTATTTTAATGCTACTGTTCTGTTGTGGTGTGGTTATTACATGTGATGTGGTCTTTGAAAAACAAGTCATACCTCGAGTGTCTTTTATTGCTTTTTAATATTTTATTTTGTCACAGTCCGTTGCTCTTGTGACAGGTTTGTGTTTAACTGGAAGCGTGAGATCATAATCTGATTTAAGTGTCTGGCAATAAATGTCAGCGGTGTTTTGATATTTAACCTTTTAATTGTTCTCAGTACTTTGAAAAGTGAATAAAACGCTGCAGGGGGAATAAACCAAATTACCACCAAGCTGGTTAGGCACGGAAACTAATCTCTCAACCCAGCTGTCAGATTAAATGTTTGCGTTGTACGTTTCAGCAAACCATGGACATGTTAAATTTGTTCGTTTCATTTGTTGCGGTTTTGAAGAAACGTAATGTTTCTTTGTTCAATTTTTTAATTTCATTTTGTGTCAGTGCTGTAGTTAATGTGGGGTTACTTTTAGGCACAAAAACCATAACTACAACATGATGTTTTGGCTCCAAAAACCTAGTTTGGTTGCCACAAACATGGCTGGAAATGTTTCGATGTATCGTAAAAAATACAGGGTTTTGTCGCCATAAACACAGCTAGAAATGTACTGACTTTTTCTCGCACCATGCAACATTCCCCCCTCTGCTTGATGAGAAACTCGAATCACATACATGTAACCTGAACTACGTCCCTTGAGAAAGCTGCTTTGATACATATGAAACATACAAATGTAACCTGTGGCTTTCTGTGGTTTGCAGAAATATACAATGCTAATGTTTTATTCCAGTGACTGGGCTAAATCTCTGCGCAGAAACTCTGTGATTTAAGGAGGAATTTAAAGAGAATGCAACATGTTTAAAGAAGATGCTTCTATGACTCTCACAGCAGCCTAATCCTGTTTACCACAGGTGGCTTTGCAGTGCTGTCATCAGTCCAGCATCTGTTTAAGCCCATTCAAAACAAACAAAGGATGTGGAAAGTTGTATACCTTCCACACTAGAGGATTTCTGTGAAAAGGATTCTGGTTAGTTCAGTGACTACTTCAGATTTACACGTTAGGTAATCCATACCGAAGCAATTTTCCCATCAGGTTCCTCTTGATTGTGTTCCACCACCCATTCTAGGCAGTGTCCAGGAATCCTCCCAGCAGGACCATCCCAGTGTAGCTCCAGCTGCATGTCTGGACCTGTTTGCAGATGCACTTTCTCTGTGGTGTCAGGCTTCACTGCATAAACAATAAAAAAGCGCAGAACAGATTACAGATTGTGTAAGAAGCTGAGAAGAAAACAAAAAACTGATTTTGGCGAGATCACTTTGGAGCAAGTAATGGCCTGAAACACAGGGTCAAAACATGAGGGTGATAATTACTGTGACCCCCACTGAGTTTGCATGTTAAGGCTCTGTTAAACCAGAAGGTAACCGTGCATGTACCTTGGTTTTGGATTTGCAGGGAGATGAATGTCGGTTTCAGGGGCCCTTCAGAAGAGGAGCCGTTTACGCAGAAGTTTATATTGGTGTACTCCGGGAGAGATTTCCCTGTGAAGTTGCAGCCACTCCTGGTTCCGCTTGAGAACAAATATTTTGGGCATTCTTCTGCCTGTTCCAGCTCTTTGTGCCTGACGAAGAGACAGAACAGATAAAACACTGTTGATATGGGTGCAGTCTATTCACCCTGACAGTACTGTGGAAAGTTGTGTTTGAAGATGTTCACCATATGTTTAGCACCACTGCAACTCAAGGTCAATAGCTTTTGTTTTGTGGTACTTCGTGGCATTACAACTCAACAACCCTCAACAAGTTCCAGTGTTTAGGATTTAGGGTGAAATGGGATATGATATGATTGGCATGTTTACTTCAGTGTATATGTAACTGGTGGACTGTGTAACTATAAAGAGCCCCAGACCGTGGATATCTTTGGAGGCGATCTCCATTCATTCCGTGTTCACCGGCATATTTCTGCAGTCGCCCACAACAGACAAATCAAACACAGACTCTAGACAGGGCTGTTTCTGTTTTGCATTTTCACGCATCAGCCCCTTTAGACAGAAGCCAGTCTGTGACAAACAGCATCAGAAAAACACTAATATCTGGTGTGAAACTGCTTTATACTGTGTTTTACTGCTTTTAATCACCTGGTCCGCTTGTTTTGGAGAGGAAGAGACCTCTGCGGATAATTTGTCTCACAGTAAAAACCTTCCTGAACAATGAACCCTGAAGGAATTCTAACCGGGAGAAGTTTAATCTGGTTGCAATCTGCAATCCTCACCACTAGATGCCACTAAATCTTACACACTGAACCTTTAAATAAATCATAGCTATTATTTAAGACCATCAACAATTCTCAGTTTCTCAGATTCTGAAGTGGATGTTAACAAGTCAAATGATCACCAAAGCTGTTCAGATTCATCCTTTAGGGATCTTGAATATCTGCTCCAAATTTATGGCAATTGATCCAAAGTTCTCGAGCCATTTCATTCAAAGCCAACTTCATTGTGGCACTGCAGAGTCAGAGGATCACTAAAGTCGGCAGGATTTATCTTCCAAGGACCATGAATAACTTCAAGGGAAGCTATCTAATAGAAATTTAGCTCAGGACCAAAGTGGTCGACAACTGACCTCTGCTGAAGAGATTAAAAGCGCCTCTAATGAGCACATGACATACCAGAAGTACAGATTTTGCTGTGAGCTGGTCGGCATCTTTGGGCTCCTTCCCCAGCTGCACTCCACGTACCTCATGTTATGGTACACACAGACAAAATCCTGGACAGCAGTACCCACAACACCTAGAGATAGAAAGTGGAATAAAACCAATCAATGTCAATTCATATTTTCCAGATATCTTGATGTCTTTACCACCATGTATAAAACCTTAAGGACTGACCTGTGCTGAGTGGTTTCCGGATCAGTTCAGTGTAGCTCTTGCTCTTCATCATGGTGCCATTGGTGCAGGGTCCATTCAGCAAGGTGTACACTCTCACTCTGACGTCTTTCATCAGATCAAACTGGGCACTGTGTGTCATCCTGGACGTCCTGATAGCCTGTCAAACCAGGAACACAACCGTGTTATTCAGATTACAGTGTAATTGTATGTTTACTATGCTCAGACTTTCAACAAAGACGCCTTTTGGACCATCGACTTTATAAAAGAAGTGGACATAGCCACCATGACGTCACTTATTGGTATGTGGACTACTGTTTTGAAGCCTCATGTTTGGCATTTTGGCTGTTGCCATGTTGTATTTTTGGAGCCAGAAGTGACCATATTTGGATGAGACTGGGGAGTTGTGGAGGACAGAGAGGTGGATCTAACTGTGAACCTGAGAACACAGCAACCAGGTTGCAACTTGTCAATCACAAGGTAGTCACACCCTATATGGGACCATTATTTACAAAATGAACATTATATTGTGTTGAAGAAGACTTGAAACTAGCGATTGAGACCATAAACTCATTAGGAAAATGTTAACTGAAATATAAATCAAGTGAGATGTAGAGTCATTATCGTATAGACTTTTTTTTGCAACCAGTGGCGTCGCCCCCTGCTGGCCATTAGAAAGAATGTAGGCACTTCCCCATTGGTTAGCCTATTTAGACCCGGAGATAATCCCTTGCTTATGACATAAAGTTTGCTTCCCAATTTTAAATTTCCACGACAGATATAGTTCTGAGAAACCCGACCTTGTGCTTTCCTTTACTGTATGCTTGAATTCAAAGCTAACGATTGTGGTTTGAAACTAAATTTGACACCTTAGGTGCTCACTCGAGAAGATCATGTCCTGGAGCATGTAAGTAATGAATAAACAATGAATGTATTTCGTTTAACGCATGATGAGCCTGGGCCGTCACAATTGTCAAATATGATCATTGTCTTAGTTATGACATAGTCACATCTGTCATTGACTGACTCAGACACCAGCATATGTTACACAAACATTAACCTGTGCTCAATCAATGCACCACCCGGCAAAAATAAAACCAGCCTGGGGATTTGAAAGAGACCTGTGGGTCCTTTTTTTGTTTTTGCCCCTCATTAAAAATAAAATGATGAAAGGTTTGTAACAGTGAACTTCACTGGAATATTCTCAGAGGATCAACGAGCCTCCAGGCTGTGTGAAATTGAAACCATATGAACCTGTTCTGACACTGAAACATATTAAAAGTTCCCACACTACCTGAGGTCATAGCTACAGATCTAAAGCAACCTCTAACAGGTTTCCAGTGTAATGGCCTGAAGTGTTGCACCCTTCGCTAATATCCAAATCATTCCAAACAGACCTTTCACACCTTCCACAGAACTGCTCTCCTCGTGTGAATCACTGACTAACACTGTAAAGTACCACAACAAAAGTGATGCGGCAGATCATTAAAGTTGAAGTGGCACATTTATTTTAATTTAAAGGATACCTGTTTTTTCCCCTGAGATATGAAACCTGATTTCTTTAACATAAGTACTTGACTAACAAAGATTTACATGTATAATCAGGGTTGTATGAAGTTAAGCACACTCCACAGAGAGACATCAAAAACATAATTCAGCCTTATCAGCCTGCTGCATTATTTGGTCCTTTGAAGGGCCTGTTTGTTCACCCAATTTCTCATTTTAGCAAGTGTATCCATACACTGCTGCTGAGATTACAACCGTAATCACAAGATTATTATTTTTATTGATTAATATGATAATTTTTCATACACTGTTCAGCAATAAAAACACTTTTTAAGAGACGTATTCTCAGTATAAAAATACACAGTATATTATATGTGTGTTTTTATGTTCAATTCAATAAAATTTCATTCATAAAGTCCAATATCACAAATCAGAAGTTGCCTCAGAGGGCTTTACAGCATACGACATCCCTCTGAGGTGAATTGTCTCATTTAAATGGCTAATAATGATTTAGCTCTGTCATGCATTATTTTTGATCAATTCAGTCAAGATTTTTTCTTCCAAAGTATCTTTATTACTCTTTAGGCACATGTTATATTATATTTCAGTGGCAGAAATATTTTAATATTGAACATTTTGTTTTAAACACACATTTTTCAAGGAGTTTTTTCACGTCTGCTCGAGAGCACGCGTTTGAGTTTTCACCTGAAGGCATATAAACCATGAATAAAATGATTAATGATGTGGAAACTTGGCTATAAGTATTTAACTTCTATATAACTTGTATATATTTTGCTCCCGAATTCTCAGCCCCCCAGTCAACTGTAGGCATATATTTTCTCCAGTTAACATTTTCCTCAAACACACTGTCACATTTTCTTGTCATAAAAACTGCAAGTTACATTTATATGACATAAAAACAGTGATTTACAGACAAAAATTACGTATTTTCAATAACAATAGAATCAGAGTAATAGCAGGCCTATAATTGTAGCTTAAATACATCCAGGGATGCATGATGTCCAAATTAGTGGACATGATTAATTATATTTTTTCCACAGCATAAATTCAATACTTGTAAATTTTAACAACTGAAGGCTGCCACTCCTTAGTTGTTACTTGATGTTACCACATATTATTTAGATGCAAGTGTCTCTTCCTATGTAAATATTGGCAAGATAGATTTGCTGCACAGCATTTTGTGGCATTGAGCAGGCCAACTTGGATTTGAGAGATTTGCGTTGCACTTACGACGGCCGACCAGTAGGTAGCAGTGTATGGCGTCACGTGCTTCAACCACCGTAGTGTTTGAAGCGCAACTACACCATCAGAACCAGTGCATATACATGAAAATTGCTGTAACCACTATGGCTTTAACTTCATGGCAAGCGATTTGGCAAGTTAAGTGCATCCATGTAAGGTGTGAATAAAATGGTTTGCACTTACAGTCCAGGTGTTCTTGTATGTGTTGAAGTACTCCAGCTGATACTGTTTTTGGCACTCTGTCACATTGATCAAACTGGCCGGGGGGCTCCATGTAATGTCGAGATGTCCAAGATGTCCAGGGTCTGATATCACAAGGTCTTCAGGAGGATCCACTGCAGAGGGGAAAAATATACAGAAAATAGCCTTTAATTTTTATTTTTAAAAAAAATCAAAAAACATTATTTCAGTATGTTCAGCCTGTTCAGACATTACGCTCATTTCACATTTCTTGGAAATGTGAGCGCAAAGTCGCACCCATTCTGGCAGCAACTCTCATCTCTGCACAACATTTAATTCATTGTGTGTCCCATTAAATCCTTTGTTTAAACGTGGTTTGGTTTCCACTAAGGAGTTCAAATGATGAAAGGGTATACACGTGAAAAGTGTCATGCGGTTTATTAGCTCATAATTTAACAAATCTGGGCCAACCTGTAAGTCCATTGCAATGCATGCTCTCCCTCCAGGTTATTAATAGCAGCATCAGTGTCGCTTGATGAGTCACCTTTTTACTCGCCATCAGTGTGTAGTCGACACTTTATTACTATAACCAAGACTGAAAAATCAAATACAAATTAAACAAGTTGTAAACACAGATAGAATGTGTCACTGAGTGAGCTCACTTTAAATCCTGGTCTCTTGTTTATTTATCAGAGAAACTGTTTTCAAAAAGTATGGAAACAAAATAAAAGAATAACAAAAAACGTTTTCCCTGTGATACAAAATAAAAACATAATTTTACAATGAATATTTCTAAACCAAATAAAGCCGTCAGACCCAAAAGACTGATGTACTTACATGAATGTGGGAGAGCGTTTTTCCTCTGAGGCAGGTTCAGACAGAGTTTATGAGACTGCAGCGTGGGAGGACTGACCATGTGTGCTGCTCAGATCAGACTGAGACGGAGTTTGGTTTTTTTCCTCACTCTAATCAAGGAGATGATGCCATGCAAATAATTGTTTTGGCGTGAATATTTATACAGAAGGAGGGTTTTTTTGGGGGGAGAAAATGATTAGCTTCACTTTTATTTATGCTCATTTCATGTTGGCTCTTGCCCTGGCGCTTCCATTTCTGTATGGAAACAGAATTCCACTTAATTTTTTCTCACTCCTGTCAAAGGGAAAGCCATGTTGTCAGTGTCATGTCTAACACATGAACATTTTATTTTTAAAATCATGAAAAAACATATTGTCTCATCTCGAATTCAGCTACTAGCACCCTAAAAGTCTTAAAAGTCTTAAATAATGTAAATAACACTTGCGCATGTGCAGTGCTCCTTGTAACAGACTTAAATCTTAAACCACAAGAGGTCAGTGAAACAAAGCTTTGCCAGCTGGTGTTTGAATATTCTTTAGATTTAGATTAAACGTCCATTTTCCTTACATAGAGTGCCCCAGGAAAGAGTCCTTAAACCAAGGAAAATATAGAAAATATATTTAAAAATCTCTATATATGAAAATGAAAATATCTAGTGGCTGGAGAATACTGGACTGACAGACAGCACAGAGGCACTAATCATCGCAGCACAAGAACAGGTCCTAAGCACAAGGGCCATAGAGGCCAGGGTGTACCAAGCAGATCAAGGTGCGGGCTGTTCAAAGATGCCCCTCGGACGGTCCAACACGAAAAGGTGGATAAGTATCAAGGGTTGAAAGAACAGCTGGAATAGACATGGATGGTCAAAGTTGATGTGGTCCCTGTGGTAGTAGGAGCATTCGGGGCAGTGACCCCCAAACCGGCAGATTCCAGGAATTCACAAAAGCTTGGAAGAGTTGCTCTTAGTGACAGAATTATAAGAAAATTCTTAGTATTCAGACATTTTCTTAGAATTTACCCTCAAAGTTAAGACTAGGTCCTTGTAAAAAAGTTATTCACAGAGCATCTTAGACCTTAAAAGAGCTTCTAAGGGCTTCTAAGGTGAAAACTGTTAGGAGCAGGGAGGGGGACTTTTAAGAGGCTTAAGAGTTTCTTAAACAGAGGAGAAAATGGCAGAATCTCAAAGAGGTCTGAGAAATATTCTCCAAACGCTGGGTGACAGTGAGTAAATAAAATGCTGCAGATGAAATTGTGCAGGAATAATGTTTGTGGTCGATCTCATTAGGGATACGCATGCATTCCCATCTAATGCTATAAAGGCAGAAGTAAAATGATCACAACACTAAAATATTTGGAAAACTGGAAAAATGTAACAGTGCAGCAGTGATGACTTGTGTCTGTCTCAACCTTACATCAGCAGAGTGATCTCACTAAAAATGACAACACTTTTAGTCTCATACTGTGATGAAATTCATTTCATTTCCACTGAGTGTCCACACCTTGCAGGCTCATGGGAGGGTGTGTCTGTGACAACCAATGACATCTGTTGAGAGTATGTGTCATACCTAGCTACAAGGTCAACCACACCTCCTCACTAAGATAAAAGTTGCTGTCACCTTCCTGGCTCAGAGTTGCTCTGAGAACTGTCCTAAATCACTCCTAAGCTAGGACTCCTGACTAAAAATTTTAAGGCTAAGTTTAGACTCACAAGTCACTCTTTAGATGCTTTGCTGAACTAAAGACTGATGACTTTCTCCCTGATTTTGTGTTTAGATGGGCGGATACAATTTCAGAGTTTAAAAAACTCCCTACGTTGCAGAACCAGTAGTAAATCTGCAGGGCGGTCCTTCAGTGGCTCGCTGAACTCTTGTGCTCGTAAACATAGTCCCACTAGAAACACGTGTAGCGGTAAAGGAGGAGCGCACGTTTCCGAGAAGGCGTGTCCTTTTCAAAAATGCAAGAGGCGTTGCTTTGTTGCCGGCTGTTTTCGCCGGTGTGTTAAACACACTTTAGAAAGGAGTGTCCCCAGACTATCAGAAGGCGGAGATCTCTGATTGTCTGGTGGCGAGACTAGGCTAAGTTAGGAGCTCTCTGAGAGTGTTCTCAGAATGTTTGTGAATACAGCCCCAGAAGTGTGCAGTCCTAGGTACAGCTAAGATACTGCACAGAACCGTCAAACTCTGGTAGAAGACCCAAACATGAGGATGACACAGGTACCACCCTAAGACGGTGAGAGGGTGATTTTATATACTGTATATATGGACCATCACTGACCCATGGCCAAACTGGTCATGCTGGATGATGTTACAGGCAGCATAATATTCACCACGGTGTCTCCAGACTCTTTAATGCCCGTCACATGTGCTCAGTGTGAACCTGCTCTCATCTGTGAAGAGAACAGGGCGCCAGTGGTGGACCTAGAGGACATCAGGCCCTCCTGCCACCTTCATGGAGTCTGTTTCTGACAGTTTTGTCAGACACATGCACACCAGTAGCCTGCTGGAGGTTATTTTGCAGGGCTCTGGCAGTGCTCCTCCTTCATCCTGGAGGAGCCTGTGCAACCTGACTGGACTGTTGGTACCGCCTCATGCTACCAATAGTGACAAGGACACTAGCAGACCACAAAACTAGGGATGACTGTGAATGGTTGTCTGTTTCTGTTCGATAGTCTGGCAACCTGTCTTAGTGACAGGACATAGCCAACATCTTGCCAGTGTCAGCTGGAATAGGCTCCAGCCTCCCCGTGGCCCTGAATACGATACGTGGTTGTGTAATGTGGTACTTGTTATTATTGTTGTCATGGGAACAGCGCATACAAATACACTCTTCATTTGATACATGTAAGTCACCAAGATCTCAACCACCCCTGATGCATCCTGACAGCCAGTCACAAATAGGAACAAGGATATAATCCCTCGCTGGCTTCCCATCCACAAGCTTTCAGTTGTTTCATATAGAAATCTGATGAGTTGTGAGCTTCTGCTCAGCATGACATTGGTACCAAACACAGCTTGTTCCAACATCTTTCAAATTCTCCTAAAATATTTCAGACGCCAAATTTAGGAGGAAGTGAGTCACTGCTAAGGTAGTGTGAGTGGGCAGAAGTTCGCTGCAGAGATCAGCCTCTCATTGGGCGGAACGAGCCACCCGCTGAAGTCCTGCCCTACCACCTCCGGTTGTGTAGCAGTTTTCAACACGTCCTTTACTAACTTTTGCGGTGTTTGATCTTGCGGGGATGTAGCCATTTTTCTGCCATGGTTCACGTCCTGTAGGTGATATTTTTGTGGGCGTGTTACACAAAAACCTGTTTCCCCCCGGCAATATTTTTGCAAGCGCACCGTTGCTGTGGCACTGCCCAGAACGATTGTGATTGGTTGAAAGAAGTACAAGCAGCCGGAGCGTTTTTTTCTCCAATCTCAAAGTGAGAGTCGGCCCAGCCAGACCTTTCTTTTCTTGAGAAAGGTCTGGTGAGCGAGACTACTGCTAAGGAGTTAATGTTGCCTGCTACATCCCAGTTTAAGGTCTGAATCCATCTGAGAATGCAATGCACAAAGATGTCCCTCCTCCTGAAGCATCAGTACTTTACTTGGAGGTTCGGAGGTTCTTATGCTTTAGCATTTCTATTTTCTACTGCTTTATGTTTTTACTCCAAAATACATTTATTTGACAACTTTGGTTACTAATTACTTTTCTGATTTAGATTAATTGTCCATCCATCCATCCATCCATTTTCATCCGCTTGTCCGGGCCGCATCCTAGACTTCCCTCTCCCCAGCAATGCTTTCCAGCTCCTCCTGCGGGACCAGCAAGCGTCTAGTGGATGGGCCTTAGGTCATGGGGCCTGGTCGGGCTCAGCCTGAACAGATTACATGGAGCCGTCACCCTGTGGGCCCACCATACACAGGAACTGAAATCAGGGTCCGGTGCATTGTGTGCCGGGCGGCAGGCAGGGGCAGGGCCCCGCGCGTGCTTATCCCTGGCTTTGTGGACTAAATTAAAGGAGAAGTCTGGTATTTTGCACTTTGAGGCCCATTTCTGGGTTGTTTATGATGAAATAGAGTGACTGAGACCAAAATAGTGGCAACTGCTCATTTTCGGAGAATTTGGCTTTCCCCTGCCTGGCTTAACACTGCTGCCTCTGGCCATGTGTGAACCTGTCCTAAAACCACCCTAAATGTTTGTTTTCAAAGCCATGAAACTCACCGAGTGGTCAGTGGTGTTCCTTGATGTTCTGACATAAAAAATCGTAGCAAGCCGTGTGTACACTTCCACTTGATCGTTCGTTTGACCCTGAAATGTTATACACTCCAGCCCACTTGGTGGCGATAATGCTCCTTTACGTGGGTATCCCCAACCAGCAGGAAACCATTGCAATGTAATGGGACACAGAAAAGAAGCAGAAGAAGGCTGACGTTGTGTTCAAAGGCATCGTACTGTGAAGGTTGTTTACAAGCGAGTAATCCATTGTGCAGTTGTTTAAACTTATTCCAAAACTTTTCGTTCGTTCTCGTTCTTCCTCCAGGAGCACACACAACACTGTCGAGCCGGCACTTTCGCTGAGCTAAAAGACTACAATGACTACAACCTTGTCGTAAACAACCCCCTTTCCATTTCCAGTGGCGGATTACTACCAACGGACAATGAGGCTTCCTATAGAAAATGAATGGGGTAGACAAAATGTCAAGTAAATCATCATCACAATTTTTATGTCAGAACATCAAGGAACACCACTGACCACTCGGTGAGTTTCATGGCTTTGAAAACAAACATTTAGGGTGGTTTTAGGACAGGTTCACACATGGCCAGAGGCAGCAGTGTTAAGCCAAGCAGGGGAAAGCCAAATTCTCCGAAAATGAGCAATCGTCACTATTTTGGTCTTAGCCACTCTATTTCATCATAAACAACCCAGAAATGGGGCTCAAAGTGCAAAATACCGGACTTCTGCTTTAATTGTACAAAATCTAATCTGCAAATACATTGTGATGTGTTATTACAGTTTGAGCTACGCAGCAGAGTATGAATTAGCCCCACCTTTACTAGCTGCATCATGTATGTTGAATGCATCAA